TAGAACTTGATATTTCGATATCGGCACTCCAATTTCCAAGGAGCTAAAGATTTTGAAGGGTTGGTTGACATTACATGACATCAATAATGTAGTAAAGTTGTTACATCGACATTATAAATGTAAAACCGACTGAGTAACGTGCTTTGTGAGAATTTTATTATTCGAACATTGGTTTGGCTAACAATACTATACCATTTATCACACTTTGGATACCTACACCCGATTAGAAAAGGCACTAACAAACTTTAAACATATACATACCCATAATGCAATTCCAGCAGTAATTCCAAAAGTAAATGCGCAGGGGTCCGTTTCATTAGCGAAATTCGTCGCGCAAAATTGAATCATCTCATCTGTGGCCTTTTCAATATCCTTCACCAATTCGTTCTTGTTAAAGCTTCCATCCTGGTTGATGAACTTGAAAGACTTGAACAAGCAGTATATATAGCACTTGAGATTTGGCGAGACGGCACGAGTCTGCAACTGGTAGAAGTTGTCCACTTCCTCTTGCGTGGCACCCGAAGATTGCACACAGTCGGGATACTCTTTCGCGGCCTTCGCCGACCATTTGTCTAGTATCTCTTGGGTCGTTTTCTGAAGGAGCGGTTTTTATGCAATTGTGCGGCTCAAGGGGGTCTTACCACTGTCACTACCAGTAGAACCTTCCAAATCATTTTTGACGAGGCAAATGCTAACTAGATTTTTCCTTTTATACGCTCCTCTCTAAGCTAAGAGGAGATAATGGGTCGTAAATGACAAAAAATAATTTAATAAATATAATAATAAACAAAAATAAATATGTACCAGACTCATCGGCAGATTTGTAAATGTTTATAGCTTGAAATTAGATTTCTGAACACGGGAGCGTCGAATTTAGAAGCCCTCATGAATTCAACACTTAAATATACTCATGGCGTAAGAAAAAGGCTGAGGTTTCACTTCGTCCAGGAGAGTCAACATTGCTATGCAAAATAATTTCCATACATAACATATTATTATATTATTCGGTGCATTAACAAAAAAAAAAACAAGCGTAAAACCAAAAAAACAAGTACACATGGTATGCGAGGTAAATGTGTACAAATATGGTGATAGAGACGACCAAAACAAACGTTTCTTCCAAATAAAATATGAGATCAATTGGTTCATTTGGGAATTACACTCCCTCGAGTTTATAAATTTGTCTCTCATTAATTATGAAGGACACTGATCTTCGAACAGCGAATCCGAAAACGAAAATAAAGAGTGGATACAACCCCTAAAATGGACTGTCCAACGTCTCCAACCAACCAACCAACCCGAAAATTAAAACTACTCGCTAATCTGGACGGCGTCTCAAGTCCTTTGCATGCCAGGTGTTTCTAAACCTACCATCCATATCTTGCAACGCGAACATCCACGGGGAAACTTTATGAAAGATAACAAAGGGTCTGATATACTTTGGGGCTAACTTAGCCGAGAACAGTTTCGTGTAAAGGCATTAATAAACAAGTATAAATTGTGCACAACTCTTGTGCAGATAAAGCGCATTTTTTTAAACCAAAATAGCTTTTGTTTTGACATCACCAATGGATATATTTCTTACAGACGTCTCAACCGCCCTTTGTGAGTACCCTCTTTCGACAATCCGTTCTTGAGGTATAAGGGAATATACCCGATCACGATAAGAGATCGAGGAGGAAGGGTATGGTTGGTAGAAATTAATTCCTTTCGTTGAGACCTTTCATTAGAGTACCATGAAGGATAAAACTAGTTCCATCCTCCCCCCCCCCCCATATTTTGATAAGAGGACAGAAATAAGGGCAGTAATTGGTAGAAAACGGTTCCTTTCATTGAGACCTTTACTTAGAATACAATGAGAGATCAAATTAATTTTTACCCCCCCCCCCTCCCCCCATCGGGCCCCGTCGCTCACTGATCTCGAAAAAGACTCGCACGGGAAAGTTATAGTTTGTACAAACCAATTTATTTCTATACCCTTTCATTAGAATACCGTGAAGGGTAGAACATGTGCCCCCCCCCCAATGCAAAATTCTTAAAAATTCTTTAAAAATACGCTAAAAATATTGCGTACGCTGCCTTGTCCCATATCGTCGTAGTAGAAGGTCCCAAATTTGAACAAAATTGCAACAAGAACTGTAGAAGAACGATGACAGGCGCTGTTGTACTCAAAACATTACATTCTATATACGGCCCTTTGACCCTCCTCCCTCTTTGTTCTTCCCACATTCCTTTTGCCGTCATCATCGTTCTTTAACCAATTCTCCATCGGCCGGCGTCACCCCCCTTTTCCTTAATTCTCTTACCTGCGCGTTTTCCCCTTTATTTCCTTGCATTTGGTACCCTAACTATTTAATTTCTTTTACCTTTTCAATTCTTTTCTCCCCCCATTTCCATTCTATCTCCCTTTTCCTCTTTTCTACATTTAGCTCCACTCCTTCCCATTCCCATAATACATTTCCATTCTTCCCATAGTTTCATTTCTGTTCCCATGATCACTGCATCGTCCGCGTATGCCAGAAACCATACTTTTCTTCTCCACTTCTATCCCTCCACCTCAGCGCAGTCTTAATACTCTGTCCATGTCTCTTAAGGTAAGGTTGGACGAAATGCTTTCCTAGTCCTTTACATATCCAAAACACTTCAGACTCCATCCCTCAACCTTTTCTCTCCATGTAGTTCCATCATCTCCCATACCTGTCCCCTTTCCACGCTGTCAAACGCTGCATTTAAGTCCATAAAAAACTTGAACCCCTTTCCGCCCTCTTTTTCCAGTTCCTATTCTACCAATCTATATAATACATACGGAATATACACTGCAATAAGTGACCGCACCGTGACCGAACTGTTATCTGACCGATAATGTGAGTCGGGCATAAATCTATGCAAAGCATTAAAACAACTTCGTATACTGGGCGTTATTCTATACGCTCCAGACCACCCAGTGATATGTTTGTACTTCAAACCCTAAACCTCGAGGAGGACTCTCGTGACACTTTCAAAAAGAATTATCCGACCCTCTCTCCTGACGATTATTCAGCGCTCCACTGGGACATTTGGAAATGTTCAACTTATCTCATGTAAATCTGGTTGTTGCGATAAGACATTTGTTATCGCTACGTTGGAAGATAAACCGGTTGCGCCAATAAAAAACAGGTATTTAGTTTCGAAGACGCAAGTTCAAGTAGAGGAGGGGCGGGAACTGAGAGAAGGAAGAATACTTTAAATACCAGAGAAAGACGCGATCGTTACTTGTTTGGTGGTGGACGTTAATTTATGGTCTCGGTGATTGGTAATTGTTGCCATACTTCAACGTATTGCTGCAAGACAGTCCGTCTTGCTAGTTATAAAGTGTTGCGGAACAAATTACTTGAGTGCTCTAAAAGATTTTTGTTATATTCAAAATGATTGTTGGAGTCGAATTGAAGAAGTGAAGTTTACGTAGGAGTTAGTCGGAGTGTTGTGTTTATTGAGCAGTTGCCTTTCTTTCAACCCCTCAAGTAGCAGTTAAAAGAAATTTTTCCACCATCAAAGAGCCAATGCCATGTGATATTGAAACGAGCTCTGGGAAGTTCCTAAAGTAACATCAGTTACTTTTGAGTTTGTGCGTATTTAATGAACATCGTACTTACAATCAGACACTTTAAGGTAATGAGGATATCATAAATGAATTGCTTCAATCGATCGCTTGTTGCGTGGTGTTTGTACTTTGGCCCTGAGTCCCATACACATAATGCGAGCTACTTATTACAACTTGTCTACCATTATTTTATAATTTGATTTCCGTTGCGGTACGGATAGGGGTGCAGGTAGGATGATCGATTATCTTGTAACGTAAATTTAATTACGTGAATCCCTTAATAGTATGATTTATAACGCATGATCGCTAGACTAAAATTAAACACGACTCTATTTGATTACATAGCAAAACGAAAACTTCCAAAACATTTTCGAATAAGCACACCATATTTATCGGAAATAACGCATAACGTCCGCCTTATTTCTTTATCGCCGATGACTAATCCTTTATCGATTTGATGGCGCCTCGATGTCGCTATGGAATATTCGGTACCCATGGTAGAATAATTTGACAAGGTAAGTACTATGTTGGTTGGCGAACGCTTCCCCTAGAGTCGATTGTTACCAAGTCCAGATAAATCGATACAGCGTTGATGGTTGAGCTTACCCGTCTAGATAATCTCCAGGACGTGTTCTAGTTAATTGCTAAGAACAGGCGCACCATTACAACCTCCGACACAGAATGGAAACCCCATATGGGATGACCGCCAAATTAGCTCCGAAGTATTTGGGTCCCCACGTGTTACACAAAGTCTAGTCCCCAGTATGTTTACACGCCTTCAAGTTCATACCCGTAGTTATGTTATGTGGAGTCGACCATCCGGTGTCTAGAAGAGTTTTGTAACGTGGTGTCTTTCTTGGCAGCATTTATTTCCGCGCCGCGTGTTAAAAAATTCATCGAAATACTGCTGTTCATTGCATAAGTGAGTGGTCGCACCACTGTCCAGGCCCCACTTTCTGCTTAGGTCGTTTATCTTCAATGTTGACACATTGAGACAAACATCATCCACAACCGTCGTGCTCTCTTTCCTGTTTTTCGGACACATGTTTGCTTTGTGTCCTGCATTTTTACAATTAAAACAAGGAATTGATTTTTTTTTTAATCGTCACCTTTTCGTCGCTGATTCACCCAGCGTATTTCCTTACCAACTTGGCGCCCGATGTTGTCGTATTTCCAGCGCTATTTTTGACAGATTGTCGCGTGACTGTATTACACAGAGAAAATGGCGGTAAGCTGTACAGTAACAATATTGACAGCAGATCTGGACTGATGCGTTTCCTCTCCATGTATACTGCGTTTGGAAATCAAGTGATAGTGTATTTAAATATTAAGAACAGTAGGGCTAGGGACGTCTTATCAATTGACGAAAATGTTTGGGGATTGCGGGCCAATTTCGGAGTCAACTTAAAGATATTCAGGATGCATCCTACATTAATTTTATTTATACAAAATGAAATCACATGTAAAATGCCACCATGCAACTGTCAAAATTGAAAGCTCTTTCGCATCCATCTGCTCCGACTTTGATTTCCTCACGGCACGCATTAACACCTTCTTTTGTCACAGTTTCAATAGTTTCAATTAGGAACTCTTCATTCAGGCTGCCATCCTCCCTCACGATATTAAAAGCCTTATACAAACACTCGAGGTAGCACTTGAACGGCCTCCCTTCGGGATACACGAGAATATCCCAATACTTATCCGCAACGCTCGGGTCCACACCAGACCGGGCGACGCATTCGGGGTGTTCGGCGTCGACGCGAAGCTTAAGATCGTGTGAAACATCGCCAATTCTTCTCTAAAACCAACGTATTTTCACTAGGGAAATTAAGGGTCTACTTACCGCGGAGAAAAATGCCAAGCTCGCTGGTAGGAGCAGTAAGACGATTTTCAACTGGGCGGACATGTCTGAAAATGCGAAGTTTTTGCTGCGCCCCTTTACTTATATTCCACTTGTATGATAATTTTACTGTTCAAGCATGACACAAGACCTTACTAACTTTTCCTTTAGAAAAATATTTGCATTCAAAAAACTATTTCTGGAAAATCCACAAATGCCATTAACAAATTTACATTAAATTACGTTAAAGCAATAAACTCCGACATAATCTCTCATCATTATCCACAAACGTTACTCCCATTCTTGTCTAAACAAGTGCTGTAAGTTCAATTACAAAATTTGGAATACTAATATCAAAGACTATCAGGAGGATAGTCTTTGCTAATATGCAACGGTCGTTGTTACATAAAGGGTTTCGATTAACAAGTTTTGATATTCTGAATTAAAACTGTAACCTCTAACACAAAAATGAAAGGAATTGCTATCTGCCATCGACATTTTTCCAAAATATTACCTTTTTATGGTTTTGCCTACTGTAGACCTCCGTTCTCTGAGAGTTTTCTGAGAATCAGTTACACCATCAGCAACAAAATGAACCCTTGAATTTGGCAAATTGCTGTATTTTGAAAGAAAAAATAGAACTAACCTTGGATTACAAATCTTCTCCATCGTGGAATGGGTTGATTTTCTTAACATCTAGGTACAGCTGGATAGTAGTTGTAATACAGATGTTTTCAGGAGAACGCGTTTGGAACCCTGCCGATAATGACTTCTTCTGGCAATACTCGAAATGAGAATTTTCTCTTGATTATAATGGGCTGGTTATTCTCCCTCTCTCTGTGTAGTGCGTGGAGTCTGTATAGATTATGTATAGGTCTTGTGTACATGTGTAGATTGTGGGTTGTTTATGTGCAGGTTTTGTGTAAATTCTGGGTGGATCGCTTGTAAATTTTGTAAGTACTATCTAGATTTCGCGACTCTGGTTCTGATTTCAATGAAAGTTCTGAGTACATTATATGTGGATAACATGTGACGTATGTGGATATTCTATGTAGGTTCCGCGTAGATTTTTTTTAATTCTGTGCAGATCCTCAGTGTGGGTGTGAGGGTATGTGTGTGTGCGGATTATGTGTAAATTTTATGAAAATTTGATGCAATACTTTGTAGATTTTGTATGGATTCTATATACAGTTTATGTAGATTTTCTGAAGATTTTCTGTAGATTTTCTGTAAATTTTCTGTAGATTTGCTGCAGATTTTAATAATAATAATAAATATATATTCATCCTGTAAGACAAACAAAGTGTAGGTATACGACAAATCAATTAAACACAAAAGACAAACATTTGACATTAAACATTTAAGTGATGAAATTTTCCACAGAATAAAATAAACTTTCTGTAAATGTTGTCTCTACTTTGTGTAAATGTTGTGTAAATTTGATGTAAATTTGATGTAATACTTTGTAGATTTTGTATGGATTCTGTGTACAATTTATGTAGATCTTCTGAAGATTTTCTGTAGATTTTCTGTAAAGTGTCTGTAGATTTTCTGTAGATTTTCTGTAGATTTTCTGTAAATATTGTCTCTACTTTGTGTAAATGTTGTGTAAATTTGATGTAATACTTTGTAGATTTTGTATGGATTCTGTGTACAATTTATGTAGATTTTCTGAAGATTTTCTGTAAATTTTCTGTAAATTTTCTGTAACTTTTCTGTAGATTTTGTGTAGATTTTCTGTAGATTTTCTGTAAATTTTCTGTAGATTTTCTGTAAATGTTGTCTCTACTTTGTGTAAATTTTGTGTACATTGTAATGCTTTGTAGATTTTGTATGGATTCTGTGTACAGTTTATGTAGATTTTCTGTAGATTTTCTGTAGATTTTCTGTAGATTTTTTGTAGATTTTCTGTAGATTTTCTGTAGATTTTCTGTAAATGTTGTCTCTACTTTGTATACATTTTGTGTAAATTTTATGTAAATTTGAAGTAATACTTTGTAGATTTTGTATGGATTCTGTATACAGTTTATGTAGATTTTCTGAAGATTTTCTGTAGATTTTATGTAGATTTTCTGTAGATTTTCTGTAAATGTTGTCTCTACTTTGTGTAAATTTTGTGTAAATTTTATGTAAATTTGAAGTAATACTTTGTAGATTTTGTATGGATTCTGTATACAGTTTATGTAGATTTTCTGAAGATTTTCTGTTGATTTTCTGTAGATTTTCTGTAGATTTTCTGTAGATTTTCTGTAAATGTTGTCTCTACTTTGTGTAAATTTCGTGTACATTTGATGTAATGCTGTTGTAGATTTTGTATGGATTCTGTGTACAGATTTTCTATGTAGATTTTCTGTAGATGTTCTGTAGATTTTATGTTTTCTGTAAATGTTGTCTCTACTTTGTGTAAATTTTGTGTAAATTTTATGTAAATTTGATGTAATACTTTGTAGAGTTTGTATGGATTCTGTGTATACAGTTTATGTAGATTTTCTGAAGATTTTCTGTAGATTTTCTGTAGATTTTCTGTAAATGTTGTCTCTACTTTGTGTAAATTTTGTGTACATTTGATGTAAATTTGTTGTAATACTTATAGATTTTGTATGGACTCTGTGTATACAGTTTATGAGATTTTCTGAAGATTGTTTGTAGATTTTCTGTAGATGTTCTGTAGATTTTATGTAGATGTTCTGTAAATGTTGTCTCTACTTTGTGTAAATTTTGTGTAAATTTTATGTAAATTTGAAGTAATACTTTGTAGATTTTGTATGGATTCTGTATACAGTTTATGTAGATTTTCTGAAGATTTTCTGTTGATTTTCTGTAGATTTTCTGTAGATTTTCTGTAGATTTTCTGTAAATGTTGTCTCTACTTTGTGTAAATTTTGTGTACATTTGATGTAAATTTGTTGTAATACTTATAGATTTTGTATGGACTCTGTGTATACAGTTTATGAGATTTTCTGAAGATTGTTTGTAGATTTTCTGTAGATGTTCTGTAGATTTTATGTAGATGTTCTGTAAATGTTGTCTCTACTTTGTGTAAATTTTGTGTAAATTTTATGTAAATTTGAAGTAATACTTTGTAGATTTTGTATGGATTCTGTATACAGTTTATGTAGATTTTCTGAAGATTTTCTGTAGATTTTCTGTAGATTTTCTGTAGATTTTCTGTAGATTTTCTGTAGATTTTCTGTAGATTTTCTGTAGATTTTCTGTAGATTTTCTGTAAATGTTGTCTCTACTTTGTGTAAATTTCGTGTACATTTGATGTAATGCTTTGTAGATTTTGTATGGATTCTGTGTACAGTTTATGTAGATTTTCTGTAGATTTTCTGTAAATGTTGTCTCTACTTTGTGTAAATTTTGTGTAAATTTTATGTAAATTTTATGTAAATTTTATGTAAATTTTATGTAAATTTGATGTAATACTTTGTAGAGTTTGTATGGATTCTGTGTATACAGTTTCTGAAGATTTTCTGTAGATTTACGTTTATTTTGTGTAAATTTTTAGTATGTTTTGTGTGGATTCTGTATACATTTTGTATAGATTTTGCATAGATTTTGTGTAGATTTTATGTAAATTTTGTGTAGATGTTTAGTATGTCTTATGTGGATTCTGTGTACAATTTTTAAATGTTGTATGTATTTTGTGTAGATTTTTTGTAAGTTTTGTGTAAATTTTGTGTTATTAGTATGCTTTGTAGGGATTCCGTGTACATATTGTGTAAGTTTAGCATAAACCTTGGGTAGATTTTTTGTAGGGCTTGTGCGAATTTTGTAGTGATTTTGTGTAAAGCTTGTGTAAATCTTGGGTAAATCTTGTGTACATTTTGTGTCTGTAAATTTTGTGTCAATGTTGTGTAAATTTTGTGTAGATTTTTAGTATTTTTTGTGTGGATTGAGTGTACATTGTGTAGGTTTTGCATAAACCTTGGGTAGATTTTGAGTAGGCTTTGTGTCAATTCTGTGGTGATTTTTTGTAAATTTTGTGTAGATTTTTCGTTAACTTTGTGTAGATTTTTAATATGTTTTGTGTGGATTCTGTGTACATTTTGTATAGGTTTTGCATAGATAATAATAATAATAGTAATACTAACAAATGTCTTTATTGATTAGCAGTTCTACATTTGCAATAAGTACTGCATATATCAATTCAGATTTTTTAGGTAAAACCTAATCTGATATTCTACTTTAACCTTAATAACTTTATAAAATCATCCAGTTAGGTACAGACAGAAAGAACAAAAAAAAGGTGAACGTTTTGTATAGTAAACAACTATTGTTTATACCGGGTGATTCATTAGAAGTGATGATCGCTTGAAGTTCGCGCGTAAGGTTTTAGTATTTTTTGCATTGTTAGATTGACAGTTTGAATTTCGTTAGTAATTTTTTTCTGTCATGACTGTCATTTAAGAAACCAGTGTCGCCGTTAATTGTTGTGTGCCATTTGCGGTTTATTACTTTTTCCATCTTGAACCATTTTTGGAGTTGATGCACTAAAATATGTAGGAAACGTGACTGTGTCTAGTGTTAGTTTATAATTTGTGGTAAAACAGAAGCAGTATTTGTAGATTATAAATAAGTAAACGATTTACTGAAAGCATGATGATACACCACTGCAATTAAATAAATGATCATCAGTTAGTACCAACTTCATAATTTATTTGATTTGCGGGAAATTCAAATTGTCCTCACTTCTAATGAATCACCCGGTATTTGCACTTAAACATTTTTTAGTTTAACGTCACAATATCGGCATCAGGAAGGATCTTGTGTTGATTTTGTGTGTAAGTTGTGTGTCTGTTGTGTAGATTTTGTGCAAATTTTCTGTAAATTTCATGTTGATTTTGTGTCAATTTTGTGTAGAATTTGTGTAAATTTAGTGTAAATTTTGTGTAGATTTTGTGTAGATTTTTAGTATACTTTGTGTGGGATTCTGTGTACATTTCGTGTAGGTTTTGCATAATATCTTGGGTAGATGTTGTGTAGGCTTTGTGTCACTTTTGTAGTGACTTTTTTAAATTTTGTGTAAATTTTGTGAAGATAAATAAATATATTTTTTATAAATATATTCTCAATGTACCGGACGTAGCGATCAGTTGTTCGCTGACGATGATAACCTTGCTGTCGAAACGCGTTCGAGGTTTTAATATGTTATTGTAGTTTATTGGTGTTTTTGTTTTACATTGGCAAGTTCAACAGTCGCAAGTAGCAGCCTTTTTTTGTTAATTGAGATAATCAGTTTGGACTTTTTTTTCAACGAAACTGGTGATGACTAACGATATTAACATCATTTGGTCACAACACGCGCTAAAAACGAATTGAAAAAGTCCGGAGTGGTAGCGTTAGAAATCCAAATCATATAACGGGCGATCAAAAATGAGTTGCTGTCGAGTCGCCTTTGGAAGTTCAAGTTAAATGTGATTTCCTATGTAAACAAAAATTCCAAAGGTGACTCGACAGCAACTGATTTTTGATCGCATTGTACCTGTTAGCACAATTTGATTAAATAATCAAGTTATATAACAAGATAGTAACAAAAAAGTTGTTTTTGAGTTGTTGTCAAAATAAACAGAATTGAAAACGTAATTTTTGATTTTTCTCATTCTTAATTGCAAGAAGAAACATTTGGCGCCCGAGCAAAAAGTAACCTCGTGCTTTACGAAGAATCAATTCTACCGAAGCAATAAACAACGTGAATCACCAATTCGTCGATTCGTACCAACAATATTCAAACGGAAGCTACAAGAATCCAATATCTGTCCATTTGAGGATCATCTAACAGTGTCAACGACCAAATATCCTTTCCACAAATTCTCAATTTCTTTTGCGAGGTAAGAGTGATCATTCTAATTTGCTTTAAAATAATTCATAACGCACTGAATTTTATTTTGACCAGTAATGTCAAATAAAAATAAAGCATATGTAAAATCCCTTTTAGTAAAACGAGAATTTCTTTATAACAAGCTTAATGCCTTCTCATCATACATTAATGATTTAAAAGACGATTTCAATAAATCTGAGCTTAAATTACGTATCAATAAAATTGAAAATATACTTGAGGAATTTACTCATATTCATCTTCAGCTAGAAGAAATAGGGTCGACTTCTACAAATAATGTAGAAGAGCTTAATGAATTTGAAACTTTATTTTATTCATCAGTTTCTAAAGCAAAAGCTATTTCTTCCATCGAAAATGTCTTGCCGTCAACCTCTGTAAATATGCCAATGTCACTGAATGTAAAATTACCAGAATTAACGCTACCAAAGTTTAATGGTGACATGAATATGTGGTTGGAGTTTCGTGACAGCTTTTCAGCAATTATAGATAGTAACTCAAATCTTTCTAAGGTGCAGAAATTTCAATATTTAAAATCAACATTATCCGATGAAGCCCTAAGAATCATTCAGAGTATCACGCTTTCCGATGATAACTATACTGTAGCATGGGAACTTCTCCTAAAACGATTTAATAAAGAAGAAGTACTTATTGATGATCACATAAAATCATTATTGAAGTTACCATACTGCAAAACAGAATCATCCGAAGCGATCAGAAAATTAGTAGATTCTGTAAATAAAAACGTTCGTTGTTTGCAACTTCTAAAGGTACCGGTTGAGCACTGATTTTACTGTTGATTTCTATCTCCGAAAAATTGGACGAATGTACCTTTAAAGAATGGGAGAAATATAAAGCAAATAACAACAACAGGATCAGTTTAAAGATAATGTTAACATTTTTAGAAAGAAAGGCTGACGTTTGTATGAAAATCAATTAATGTCAAAGGTCATACGATAATAGTAAACCTAAAATGAATTTAAATGTCACATCAAATAAGGTTGTGTCAAATCATTCAAAAACGTCATCTTGTCCGATTTGTAATGCTAATCACTTAATATTTGCATGTGCACAGTTCGAAAATTTGTCCCCTCAGGATAGGTACCAATTAGTAAAACAAAAAGGTCTGTGTACAAATTGTATTCAATTTAATCATGCGAGTCGAACATGCAAATCTGATACTTGTAAAAAGTGCCATAAACGGCATCATACACTGTTACATTTCGAAGAAGTGACTCCAGTAAATGTGGGACAAATTTCAGAATTTCAGGAAAATGATGAAGTATCTGATGTTGAAGAAATAAGTATGACTATTAAGCAGTAATTGCAATCATTCTAATATTTTACTTTCAACTGTGGTAGTACATGTGATGAGTGCACAAGGTAATATCTTTGCTTGTAGAGCTTTGTTGGACTCAGGATCACAATCATGCTTTATTACTGAAAGTATGTTTAATAAATTATGTCTAACAAAAATTCCAACAAAAATATCTGTGATAGGAATTAATAATTCAGTGAGCAATATACAAAATAAATGCGAACTAATAATAAAATCGCGAATTAATTCGTTCATTACAACAATTTCTTGTTTAATTACGCCTAAGATTACAGGACGATTACCTGATAGATTAATAAACAATTCTTTAAAAATACCTAATCATGTAAAACTAGCGGATCCAAATTATTACGAACCGCAAGATGTAGATTTATTAATCGGTGCATCTCTCTTTTGGCATTTATTGCGCGAAGGTCAAATTTCTTTAGGTTTTAATAAACCTATATTGCAGAATACTTCTTTAGGATGGATTATTTCAGGATCAATAAATTCACAAGAAAATGATCATACTATTGCGTGTAATGTAGTGAAGGTTTCCGATAACTTTATATTACAAGAACAACTTGCAAAATTTTGGGAGTTAGAATCAGTGCCCAATATTTGTGTATGGTCAAAAGAAGAAACATTGTGCGAAGATCATTTTAAATCTACGTACAAACGTGATTCTTCAGGACAATTTATTGTACGAATTCCCTTTAAGGATTGTACAACACAACATTTAGGAAACTCTAAAAATTATGCATTAAAAATGTTTCAATGTTTAGAAAGAAGGTTCAATAGAAATCTTAATCTAAAAAAGAAGTATGATGAATTTATGCAAGAATATATTCAATTAGGTCATATGACATTACTTACATTACTTACGTCAGAACCTTTTACTCCAAATTATTATTTGCCACATCATGGAATAATTCGTGAATCAAGTTTAACAACAAAACTGCGTGTCGTTTTTAACGCATCTGCACAAACTTCATCTGGTAAGTCACTAAATGATTTACAAATGGTTGGGCCAACTATTCAATCAGATCTATTTTCAATTTTGATTCGTTTTCGCCAAAATTTATTCGTTGTAAGTGCAGATATAGAAAAAATGTACAGGCAGATACTTGTTGATGATAAAGATAGGCAATTTCAATTAGTTTTCTGGAGAGAAGATCCAAAAGATAATATTAAAACTTATAAACTAAATACAATTACTTATGGAACATCAAGCGCACCTTTTTTAGCAATACGGTGTTTACATCAACTTGGATTAGAGTCACAAGCAATTTTTCCGAAAGCTTCCATAGCTATACTTCAAGATTTCTACGTAGATGATTTATTAACCGGATGTGATTCTGCCCAAGAATTAATTCAAACATCAAAGGACATTTATAACATATTACAATCTGCAAAAATGCCGTTACGTAAGTGGGCATCTAATAGCTCCGAAATAATTCAAAGTACCTATTAGTAATTCGTTATTAAAAAATATTGAACATCAAACAGTTTCAGATAGTTCTTGTAACATCTTAAAAACTCTTGGATTACCTTGGTTACATTACCAAGATCAACTATGTTTTAAAATTGATACAACCCTAATTCCAAATACACTGACGAAAAGAAATGTATTATCATACATCGCTCAACTCTTTGATCCATTAGGACTAATTGCACCCGTAATATGTAAAACAAAAATTTTTATGCGAAATTTGTGGCAATTTAAATTATCTTGGGATGAACCCTTACCACATGAATTATATATTCAATGGAAAGAATTCAACAAGAATTTGCAAATATTAAATAATCTGAAAGTACCACGCTGTACACGGTTACCGAATTCAATTATAAATGAGTTGCATGGTTTTTGCGATGCTAGTCGTTTAGCATACGGTGGTTGTTGTTATATAAGATCAGCAGACAAATTTGGAAATGTGCAAATTCATTTACTTGCAGCAAAGTCCATAGTTGCCCCAGTTAAAGAATTAACAATACCCAAACTTGAGCTTTGTGGTGCAGTATTACTTTCAGAGTTAGTAAATAAAGTACTCAAATCGTCTAGAATTCAATTTGATAATTGCATTTTATGGACCGATTCTACTGTTGTTTTAAGATGGATAAGTACTCCACTTAACATATTAAAAACATTTGTTGCGAATCGTATTTAAAAAATATTGGAGTTAACTAATTCACATTCGTGGAAGTATGTATCAACAAACCATAATCCTGCGGATTTAATATCTCGTGGTTTATATCCAAAGGAAATAATATCTAATAGTTTATGGTGGTTTGGTCCAGAAAGGTTATGTAGTACCACTAAGTATTTTTCAGAATGCAATGACAATAATATTGACCTACCTGAGTTAAAAACTCCAAAACCTATAATATTAACAATAGTGCAATTTCAAAACCAAATAAGTAATTTAATTTCAAAATTTTCGAATTTTAATAAACTAGTATCAGTAATGTGTTGGGTTTTAAGATTCATCAATAATAGTCGGAATTCTTCTAAAATTAATACTGGGCATCTTTCATTAATTGAACGCAATAATGCACTTAATAAAATCGTAAAGGTAATTCAACAAGAAAGTTTTCCTAATGAGTACCAAGCCTTTTTATTGGGAAAGGAATGTCCTAAGCGTAGTAAATTAAATTCATTAACGCCTTTTCTCGATAATGATGGCTTGATAAAACTTACAGGTCGACTCAGTAAAGCTTTACTTGCATATGAGAAAAAACATCCAATTATACTCCCTCGATCACATTACTTTACTAAACTTTTGTTTAAATATGAACACACAAAGAATTTACATTGCGGCCCTAATTCTCTCATTGCTATTATAAGAGAAAGATTTTGGCCATTGTCTGCGCGTATGACTGCAAAAACAGTAATAAAAAATTGCGTGATTTGTCGTAGACGCGCAGCAAATTCTTTTGCTCTTATAATGGCACAGTTGCCAAAGTTAAGAGTCACTCCGTCACCACCATTTACCAATTGTGCGGTTGATTATTGTGGTCCAATTAAATTAAAAGATAGACAAGGACGAGGATGCAAAATAACGAAAGCATATATTTGTATATTTGTATGTTTTTCTACTAAGGCATGTCATCTTGAATTAGTGTCTGATCTCTCTACTAACGCATTTTTAGCTGCATTTAGAAGATTTGCATCTAGAAGAGGAAAACCACATAACATATTCAGTGACAATGGTAGTAATTTTATAGGAGCAAATAATGACTTAAAAACTATGTTTGAATTTCTTAACAAAAATGTAGATCAATTTAAAAAGTCTTTAATTTATGAAGGGATTAAGTGGCATTTTTCCCCAGCTTCATCACCACATTTCAACGGCCTAGCAGAAGCAGGCGTAAAATCAACTAAATTTCATCTAAAACGGGTTTTAGGCTATGCATTACTTACATATGAAGAGTATTTAACAGTAATTGTTGAAATAGAATGTTTACTTAACTCGCGCCCTCTTTACCCGCTTTCTTCTTCCCCTAATGACTATCATCCTTCTCATTTCCTTATTGGTCGTCGACTTACGGCCATACCGAATACTGACTTCGTGGAGATTCCCACTAATAGATTATCCAGGTGGCAGTATTTATCAAAGCTACAACAACAATTTTGGAATCGCTGGTCAATGGACTACCTTGGAGATCTCCAAATTCGTACAAAATGGAAAACAGCACAAGATAATGTTAAACCAGGGACTATCGTGTTAATTAAAGAAAATAATACACCTCCTGCGCACTGGAAAATTGGACGAGTTATTGAAGTTCATCCCGGTGATGATAACATCATCAGAGTAGCGACTATTAAAACAAAATCTGGACTATATAAGCGGGCAGTACGTAATTTATGTCCATTGCTTAATGAAGATGAATAATTAAACGAATCGTTTAATGCGGCTGGCTATGTTAGCACAATTTGATTAAATAATCAAGTTATATAACAAGATAGTAACAAAAAAGTTGTTTTTGAGTTGTTGTCAAAATAAACAGAATTGAAAACGTAATTTTTGATTTTTCTCATTCTTAATTGCAAGAAGAAACAGTACCTGAATTTGTAACACCCTCTAGTTAAGAATGGGAATCTATAATATGCATAAATAATGATGGAAAATTGTGGCCTCTCAAGTAATTTAATGTACTTAAATTTGTTTCCATGAAATCCTCTTTTACGGCAAACATTAATGTCCAATTCTAAAGGGAAAAATAGTCATGGGTGAGCAACAAAATTATCATACAAGTGGAAAATAAATAGTGAGCGTTGCATAGAAAACTTTGCATTTGCAGACATGTCCGCCGAGTTGATTAATCGCCTTTGTGGTCTTACTAATCCTACCAGCGAGCTTCGCATATTTCTCCACGGTAAGTGTACCCTCAATTTTCCCAACCGAAAATATGCTCGTTTTAGAGAAGACTGGACGATGTCACACACGATTTGAAGATTCGCATCGATGCCGAACATCCCGAATGCGTGGCGCGGTCTGGCCTAAACGCGAGCGTTGCGGATAAGTTTTGGGATACACTCGTGTATCCCGAAGGGAGGCCGTTTCAGTGCTACATCGAGTGCTTGTATAAGGCTTTTAATATCCTGAGGGAGGATGGCACCTTGGATGGAGAGTTCCTAATTCAAACTTTTGAAATAGCCACGGAGGAAGGTGTTAAGGCCTGCAGTGACCAAATGAAAGTCGGAACAGATGGATGCGAGAGAGCTTTCAATTTTGACGTTTGCGTGACGAAATTTTACCAGGACTTGGCGGGTTAATGTGCTGATGTTACCATAAACGAAACTGGTTTTGAAACTCTATGATGACCGCTTTTTAATCATATAAGTTTTCAGTTATATAATTCTAATGTAATATATTATAATGACATAAGTAATAATGATAAACTTTTCTTGCATATTTGGTAGGCATGGGAATAGTTCGTAAATGTACTTTTTTGCTAATGCAACACCCTATATTTATATACGAAATCCCCACTAGGTAGAGAATATTATAATTGTCAATAAATGTTGTCATGTGTCATATTGTTCTAAAGTCAAAAATAAGAAAAGTATTTTTGTGTACATTTTGTGTACATTTTGTGTACATTTTGTGAACAGTTTGTGAACATTTTGTGTACATTTTGTGTACTTTTGTGTACATTTTGTGTACATTTCGTGTACATTTTGTGTACATTTTGTGTACATTTTGTGTACATTTTGTGTACATTTTGTGTACTTTTGTGTACATTTTGTGTACATTTTGTGTACATTTTGTGTACATTTTGTGAACATTTTGTGATCATTTTGTGTCCATTTTGTGTACATTTTGTGTACATTTCGTGTACATTTTGTGAACATTTTGTGTCCATTTTGTGTACATTTTGTGTACATTTCGTGTACATTTCATGTACATTTTGTGTACAGTTTGTGTACATTTTGTGTACATTTTGTGTACATTTTGTGTACATTTTGTGTACATTTTGGGTACATTTTGTGTACATTTTGTGAACATTTTGTGAACATTTTGTGTCCATTTTGTGTACATTTTGTGTACATTTCGTGTACATTTCATGTACATTTTGTGTACATTTTGTGTGCATTTTGTGTACATTTTGTGTACATTTTGTGTACATTTTGTGTACATTTTGTGTACATTTTGTGTACATTTTGTGTACATTTTGTGTACATTTTGTGTACATTTTGTGAACATTTTGTGTACATTTTGTGTACTTTTGTGTACATTTTGTGTACATTTTGTGTATATTTTGTGTACATTTTGTGTACATGTACTTTTTTCGTTTTTCTTGTGTGGATTCTGTGTACATTTTATGTAGCTTTTGCATAGATTTTGTGTAGATTTTCTATAGGCTTTGTGTCAACTTTGTGGTGATTTTGTACATTTTTTGAATATTAGCTGTTGATTTTGTGTAGATTCTATATAGCTTCCATGGGAATTTTGTGTAAACCCTGTGTAAATCCTTTTATTGCTGTGTATATGTATATATAAACAATATAGCATATTCTATTACCTAAGGGCCAGCCCTAATACCATCACATCAACTAAATACTGCACAGTATTTGTTAAAAAGCAAGATTTTATGAATCTTCAATTAATTAAATAGGTGTATAATATTACCTTTATCCTCAAATGCGAAGTTTTGTTACGCAACGCTCACCATTTACTTTCCACTTGTATGATAATTTTGTTGTTCACGGATGACTATTGGACATTAATGTTTGCCGTCAAAGACGATTTTATGGAAACAAATTTACATTAAATTACTTGAGAGTCCACAATATTCCATCATTATTTACGGATATTATGAATTCTCATACTTAACTGGAAGGTGTTACAAATTCACGTATATGATTTGAAATTCTAACGCTACCACTCCATTTGCGGACTTTTTCAATTCGTTTTTAGCACGTGTTATGACCAAATTATGTCAATATCGTTATTCAACACCAGTTTCATTGAAAAAAACATCCAAGCTCATTATCTCAATTCCTAAGAAGTAAAATCTTTTTTTTGTGATCACGCGCATATCTACCAAATGATCTGGTCACTCCTGCTTTAATTTGTCTCAAAAATGCGCCATTTTGTTATAAGCGCACAAATTGATGCAACAAACAAAGAAAAGGCTGGAAGCATTGCAACTACTTGCAACTGTTGAACTGCAAATGTAAAACAAAAACACCAATAAACCGCGTAGATTTTTTAATTCTGTGCAGATCCTCCGTCTGTGTACGAATTCTGTGTCTTGGGTATATTTTGTGTAGATTATGTGTAGATGTTGTGTGTCCTTGTAAATTTTCTGTAGATTTTCTATAATTTTCTCTAATTTTCTATGGACTTTCTGTATTTTTTGCAAATTTTCAGTAAATTCTTTGTACATTTTTGCAGATTTTCCGTAGATTTTCGGTAGATTTTGTGTAAATTCGTTGTACATTTTTTGTATATTTTCGGTACATTTTCTGTTGATTTTCTGTTGATTTTTTGTTAATTTTCTGTAGATTTTCTTTAAATTTTCTTTAGATTTTGTGTAAATTGTGGACAGATTTTCTGTAGATTTTCTGTAAATTTTTTGCAAATTTTCCGTAGATTTTCGGTAGATTTTGTACAGATTTTCTATAATTTTGTGTAATTTTCTATGGATTTTCTGTAGCTTTTCTGTAGATTGTTTGCAGATTTTCAGTAAATTTTTTGTAGATTTTTTTGCAAATTTTTTGTATAGTTTTGGTAGATTTTCGGTAGATTTTTTGTAAATTTTCTGTACTTTTTCGGTACATTTTCTGTAGATTTCCTGTAGATATTCTGTAGATTTTTTTGTTAATTTTCTGTAGATTTTCTTTAAATTTTGTGCAAAATTTGTGCTGATTTTCTGTAAATTTTTTCAGATTTTCCGTAATGTTCGGGATATTTTCTGTAAATTTTTTGTAAATTTTTTTTACATTTTGTGCAAATTTTGGGCAGATTTTCTGTAAAATTTTTGCAAATTTTCCTTAGATTTTCGGTAGATTTTGTGCATATTTTCTGTAGAATTTCTATAATTTTCTGTAATTTTCTATGGATATTCTGTAGCTTTTCTGTAAATTTTTTGCAGAGTTTCAGTAAATTCTTTGTAGATTTTCTTTAAATTTTGTGTAAGATTTGTGCTGATTGTATGAAGGTTTTCTGTAGATTTTTTGCAGATTTTCAGTAGATTTTCGTTAGATTTTCTGTAAATTTTTTGTAAATTTTCTGTAATTTTTCTTTAGATTTTGGGCAGATTTTCTGTAAATTTTCTGAAAATTTTTTTCAGATTTTCCGTAAATTTTCGGTAGATTTTGTGCAGATTTTCTATAGATCTTCCATAATTTTCTGTAATTTTCTATAGATTTTCTGTAGCTTTTCTTTAGATTTTTTGCAGGTTTTTTATGTATTTTCGGTCGATTTTCTGTAGATTTTCTGTAGATATTCTGTAGATTTTTTGTTAATTTTGTGTAAAATTTGTGCTGATTTTCTGTAGGTTTTCTGTAGATTTTTTGCAGATTTTCAGTAAATTTTTTGTAGATTTTCTTTAAATTTTGTGTAAAATTTGTGCTGATTGTCTGTAGGTTTTCTGTAGATTTTTTGCAGATTTTCCGTAGATTTTCGATAGATTTTCTGTAAATTTTTTGTAAATTTTCTGTAAATTTTTTTTAGATTTTGGGCAGATTTTCTGTAGATTTTGTTTTTGCGTGCCGTAATGTTGTTTTAGCCTTTGCGCCAGAGACCGAGTTTTCCGTTTCCTCCGTCTGATTTCGAAGCCGTTCCGAAACCGACTGTTTTTGGCAACCTCCTGGTGACGCACGAGATTTCGTACTGTTCCGCCAAAACGGCCGTGAAGTAAAATCTAATACGATTGTGTACAGGGTGGCCAACTCAGAATGCGAGGTACTGTATCTGAGAATCTATCCATCGTAGAGGCTTGCGGTAAAAAAATTTATTACTAAAACGGCCACGAAAAAAACCTGGAAAATATTTTTGTTTGACAATTTTTCCTGTATCTCTAAAAATGAAGTGGCGGGGGGTATTCAAAGGTTTCCGTAAAAAACGCCCTGAATCTTCGAAACGGCTGAGCCGATTTAAACAAACTCGGGTGAGTTCAAAAATACTATTTGAAGTTTTGTTAGTTTCACATATCACCACTTGAGGGCTTTTTTCGACATTCCGACATAAATGGTTAATATCGTGATAGCCAGCATTTCGAGCATTTACTGCGTCATTAAAAGTTTTTTTAAATCGATCCACCTTCGGGCCACAACTTATATAATAAAAATAATTACGGAAAAATTAGCTTAAAAAAATAAAATATTGAGGGTATAACATTTTCTTCCTAAATTTTAGGTTAGGAACAAGATATCGAGATGCGGTTTTCGGTTTCTTGTTTAGGCATCATTTAGCTACTTTTTCATGAAAAAAAATAAACCAACGCATTTAATTTTTTTCAGAAAATTAACCATAGGTATCTGTCGGAATGTCGAAAAAAGCCGTCAAGCGGTGATATGTAAAACTAACAAAACTTCAAATATTATAATATTTGTAGCCGAAGAATAACCCTTTTCAATTAACCCGAGTTTGTTAAAATCGACTCAGTCGTTTAGAAGATACAGGGTGTTCTTTACGGAAACCTTTGAATGCCCCCCACCACTTCATTTTTAGAGATACAGGAAAAATTATCACACAAAAAAGGTTCAGATTATCGTCAACTTCAAAGACCGGACATTTTTTTGTTAGGTTAATATAGCGGAATTCACAGAAAAATCACTTTTTTAAATTCCAGATTGCAGTTACGCCCCCTAGCGGCCATTGCAGAAACTTAAAAATATTTCCAGGTTTTTCTCGTGGCCGTTTTAGTAATAAATTTTTTTACCGCAAGCCTCTACGATGGACAGGTTCCCAGATACAGTACATCGCATTCTTATTTGGCCACCCTGTACAGTTCATGTTTAACGAATAAACATTATTATTAATGTAATTCTTCCGCTGATTAAAATTTAGTTTCTTTTTATGTAACTAGTTGCACCGTTCATTCTTCAAGCTTCCGAAGACCATCACAATGGTGAAACTGTATTTTTGACTGTTGTAGCTGTAGTTTCTGTATCAATCATGAGGTGAAGATTCGCTGAACAATTTGAGTATATTATGGATAAATTGTGGCAAAGCTCTGTTTAGATCCTTTACTGTTTTGTGGAGATAAGCTGCAGCATCTGTATTTCCTTATAAGTTCAGTGTAGGTTCAGAGTAGATTCTTTATATATTTGTGTAGATTCTGTGTATATTTCTTTGTACAATCTGTGTATATTTTATGTAGATTCTATATAGATTATGGGTAGATTTTGTGTACATCCTGTGTACATTCTGTGTAGATATTGTCTAGTCTCTGTTCAGAACCTGTGTAGATTCTATGTAGATTCTGTGTAGATTCCGTGTAGATTCTGTATAAATTCTGTGTAGATTCTGTGTAGATTCTGTGTAGATTCCGTGTAGATTCCGTGCAGATTCAGTGCAGATTCTGA